GGGCACGGGGGAGGCTTCGTGATTCCCCGCGTTAGGCTGCGATGCCCGACCTGCCCTCGCCCTGCGCTCGGGGCAGGGAGAGCTGAGCTCCCGGTTCTACCCTGGGGCAGGGGAGCCCGGCCTGGGGCTCTGCTGGGCAGGGAGCCCGGCCTGGGGCTCTGCTGGGCAGGGGAGCCCGGCCTGGGGCTCTGCTGGGCAGGGGAGCCCGGCCTGGGGCTCTGCTGGGCACGGGAGCTGGCTTGAGGCTCTGCTGGGCAGGGGAGCCCGGCCTGGGGCTCTGCTGGGCAGGGGAGCTGGCAGGGCACTGCTGAGTGCCTGCTCCGGGCAGGACCACAGCAGAGCCCCCGGTACCCAGGGCTGCCTGTCCTTCGGGTCTGCACTCTCACCTCTCCGGTTAGACCTCCCTGCTGGGGGCTGACCAGGGTTTTGTGCAGTTTCTTTTGCGAGTTTGCCCTTTAGAATCAGTTGGCTGCTCTTATACTTGGGTCTTGAACATCCTGAGGCTGTTGGGGTCCTGGTGCCTCATCCAGACCCCTGGATTTTGGTGCACATCAGCTCAGCTGCAGGTGAAGCATGTCAGCCTCCAGGTCCTGAGTGTAGAAGTCTTACAGGGGATGGAAAAGGCTCTGTGCTGACCCACCTCCCCATTTGCCAAGCTTCTCTCTTCCCTCCTTGCTCCTGCATCTTGGGGTGCATCCCCCCCCAGGCATCAGGAAACAGCTGAGGTGGTCATCTGGTGAGGGGGGATAGAATAATGTGTGTGTTGTGTTTGAAATGTCATCCTGTTTCCTCCAAGCTTGTCTTCAGATGGGAATCTCAGTGCTCGCCGCTCCACAGGCCCGGGATACGGCTGGGTGGGTTCTCACGGTCGGATAGAAGGTTATCTGGGAAGTGCTCACTGCCTGTGGCCTGGGGTGAGGGGTGGGATGTACTGCACTGCCCTGGGTGGGTCAGGAGCTGGTGGAGACCAGGAATGCGTTTGGAAGGAGCTGAGGTGCGGAGGAAGGGGTGCACATCCCAGACTGTGACCCCCGTGCCTCTCAACACAGAGATCTCGCCACACTTTGCACGTTGTCACCCAGGACTCACAGGGACTTTGCTTCAGGGCTGTGCTCCTCCCTGAACTGGAGCAGACCCACGGTGATATCTCAGCCTCCTGTGACACCCTGAGCCTCCTGGTGGCTTTTGTGTGGCTATTTTTTGAGACCCACTGCCTAACAGCCTGGCTTGTGCCCCTGGCTGGGCCAGAGCAGGACTGAGCTCTGCCTGAGAACGTGTCAGAGGCAGGATTCAAATTACCCCAATTTGATGTACATGGGGACATTAACTTGCTTAGAGTTGCATCAGCTTCTGTTTGTGTCCAGGGCTTTAACAATTCAAGGCAGAATGCAAGACCCAACAGTGTTCCCTTCCTCGGGAGGGGCTGGAGGGCTGCAGAGGTGTTTGAAGGTTGGATGTGGCTTTGCTAAGCCCTGTTGCTTTGGTAGGAGGGAGAGCAGCCTCCTGCAGCCTGGAGACTTGGCGTGTGAGGGAACTCAAGGTGTGAGCCAGGCAGTGTCTCCTGAATTGGAATAAATCCTGAAAAACAAACCAAAACTGCTAAAGTTGTACATAAAAAGGGTCGGGTGTCACGCCCAGGCTTGGAGCTGCCTCGGAGGAGCGGAAGGGCTGGGTGACCCCGTGGAGGAGCCTGGATGCCCCCAGGAGGCTGATTGCCCTCTGCTCCCCTGGGCTGTCCACGGGACACCCTTATCTCTGCTCGGAATACTGCTGGCTTTGCAGAGGGAAGTGGCCAAAGCTGAGTGCTGTTGGCTTTATCTCATGGAAAACATGCTCTCCTCTGTCCCAGAGGTTTTGTGGGAGCTTTCCAAATTTGCAGTGGTTGCACGTGAGATGTAGAGAGAGACCCAACCTCTGCCCTCCCTGCGTGCAGCTGTGCTTGTGCTGATCTCCTCTGGTGGGAACATCATCTGCTCCCAGGTGAGATGCAAGTGGGAGAAATGCTTTTTAACTCTTCCCACCTCACCTAAATCCAGGCTTGTTTGTTTCTGGCTTTGTTCTGACCCTTCCTGTGAGCAGAGGGGTCTGGGAAGGACCAGACCCGGTGGCATTTCTCTGAGTGAGGGTCTTTATGAAGCAGGGGGAGGCTGGAGTGAGGGGCAGTGGCTGCCTGTGGTCAGAGCTGTGGGCAGGGGGAGAGGAGATGGATTTGTGAAGTGTGTGCCAGCCCAGTGTCCTGCTGCAGTGGCTCTCTCCAAGTGCCCAGAGCTGGAAGGAACCTTGTGAGCAGCCCATTTGGAATGTGGGGGCTCTGAGCAAGGTCAGGCACAGTGCAGCCCTCCTTGGGAAAGCTGCTTACGAGGGTGGGACAGGTGAGTCAGTGGCTTCCTCCTCATATTCCGTCATAATCCCACTCCTGGGAGCGAGGTGGGCTGCCTGCCTGCTCCCTGGGAGCCTCCTGGATCTGCCTGCGTTTGCCTCAACCATGGAGGTTGCTGTTGGACCCTTCCTGAGTGCACAGCCCTCTCCAGGCTGCTGTCCCCGAGCTGGGCAGGGAGGAACCGGCTACTCCGAATTTCTGTCACATGTGCTGCTTGGAGTGCTGACACATTTAGCCATGGCAGCTGAGGAAGCCAAGAGAGGCAGAAGGGCTGCTCGCTGCCTGCTCAGGAGAAACATTTAACCCTTGCCCTCACAGCTCGCTTCCCTGTGTCAGGATGGCTGATAGGAAGTGCCCGTGGTGTTCCCAAAATCTGCTCACTTCAAAGATGAGGAGGATTTTTTGTGTGCCGTTTCCTCCTGCTCTGGAAAAAAAAATACTGCTGCCCTGGTGCTTGGGCAGGAGGGGGAAGGGGGAGCCCTGGCAAGGAAATAAGATCCAGAGAAACGTGTCACCAGCAGAAAGAGCAATTGTTTTCCTGCATTTCCATGGCAGAGCGTTGTCCTGTTCAGGCAGCCCATGTTTGACAGCCAAGATAATACATTTATATTGATGTAATTAGCGGGACGTGGAGTTTGCTGAATGGCTCGGGGGCAGCCTGCTTTTCACTCTAACTCCAGCAAATAGATCAGGGAGGGTTGGAAAGCTGCCGTGGGTTGCTGGAATTGGCCCGTTGGGTTTCTGGAGGTTGAATACATAACTGCTGATATTTCCTATTGTGCTGTACCCTGCCTGTTTGAAAAGAAAATAACTCGAGGGAACATGGGGCTATTTTTGCCAGCTTGAGATGATCAAGTTTGATTTCTAAAAACTGAAGCCGAGTCTTTAGGCTTGCACATTAAAACTGGTGTTGGAACCACATCTCTGTTCCCCCACAAAGTCGTGCCTCCGTGCTCTGCCAACGGTGGGAGCTCGAATGCGTGCTCATAAAAAAAGAAAGAGCCTCTCTGTTCCTGCAGTGCAGCCCCATTTGTAGCACGGAGGGTGCTGAGGAAACGCTGTGGGGGCTGAGCAGCCTCGGCACCAGGGGAGGGTGACAGTGGCACCATGTCGGGGTACCAAGCTGGTGCCCTGCCCCAGCCCTGGCATTGACAGCCCTTGCCAAAGCTGCAGGGTTATCAATGCACACCCACTCTGGTAAAATAGAGACTGAGACCTTACAGCTGTTGTCCCCTCTGTGATGCCACCCAGCTGCATTTCTAACGTGGTGCTTCCTATGGCACCAGAGTTTCCTCTTCAGCATCTTGTTCCCCGTCGCAGCCCAGGTGATTTTGGTTTACTGAGGATATCATGGGCAGCTTCCCAGCTTGGGTTGTGTCCTCCTGCTCCTGCAATAAAAAGGTTTGCAGAGAAGGTAACTCTGGACAGCTTTGTTGGGGTAGCAAGTGAACTCCCCTGTGTTTGTGCTGGTCCTTGGAAGTAGGAGCACGGCATGAGGGTCCTCGTGTGCAGGGCTGTGTGTTCCCCTGTGGCAGCCCTGCTCTCCACAGAGCACTGATGTGGTCAAGGGCTTGCTCTCCAGCTTACCTCTCTCAGTTCTCCTGCCTGCAGACTCAGGCAGCAGGCAGAGCTGGGGCAGTCCTTGGAATTCCAGCACAGCCCAGAGGGTTTGTGTTAAGCTGTTGGGTGCTCAGAGCTTTCCCTTCCTGCTCCATTCCTATGTGAACATGTGCCCTGCAAGGAAAATGACGTGGTGCCACATCACACTGTCCTCTGGTGTTGGTCTCACTCCCTCATTAGCTCTAAGCCTTCAGCCTTTCCACTTGGAGATGCTGTGGGCTGGAATTCTCTTTGTAGCCAGCGCTGCACAGAACCTTGGGTTAAAAGGTCCTTTTGAACCTGAATCGGTCCCTTATTTACTTTTTACTGGTCCCTGAGAGGCATCTCTTGCCCGCTCTGTATCCACCTCTCTGTCCTGGTCTGGTTTCATTAGCAGCTCATATCCAGGTGTTCACCACAGGACATCTCCCCACTGCCTGGAATTCTCAGTGGTGGGGAGTGCTGGAAGAGAAAAGCTCCTTGTGAGTTCACTGTGACCTCCCCCAGGGACATCGTGCTGCACCTGATGGTGTGGCTGTGGGGACGGTGGGCAAGGTGAGGGAGCAGAACAGGGTCTGTTGCTCTTGGTGCTTCTGCTGTGCTCCCAAAGAGACCCAGTGATTGCACTGTTCTGGCTGAATCCTTATTTTTGTGCTCCCTCCCCAGCCTCAAACAGAGGAAGTGAGAGTGTGCTGGTGAGCCAGACACTTACGGACAAGGGTTCTTGTTGCCTCCATCTGCTAAAAGCCCATCCCAAAGGAGACAACTCTTTCCTAAAGCATGGATTTCACTAGAACAGGTTGTGTTAAGAGCAGAGAATGTGAAGGAGGAAGGGGAAATATCTCGGAGGAGGGAGGTTTGCCGAGGCAACTACTTGAACGTCATGGCTTCTGGGGGTGGGATGGGCACGTTTGGCATAATCAGAGAAATTTGTACTGTAGAATTTCCAGTAGATGTAACTGCTAATGATGTCCTGGCTATGCAGAGTAATTAACATCTGTTTCTGTATTTGAACATTCAGGCAGCGTGCCCCGCCAGACACCGCTGTGCTCACATCCGGCCCCTCGGGAGCTCCTGCCCTGTTGCTAATTGTGGAGAGCTGTCCAGAGTCCTTGTCCACGCGATCCTGCCGTGCTCCCTCCTGCCCTGCTCCCTCCTGCCCTGCTCCCGGGGTGCTGTTCCTGCTCTGATGCCAGCTCACAGCACAGCGCTGAGCAGCAGCCACCGTCAGAGAGAGTGAGGCCAATGCTGGGCACAGAATTATAAAGTCACAGCCAAAGGCTCTGAAACCGCAAGTGAAGAATCTGAGCTAACCCAAAAGCAGACCCGTCGTGTCTCCAGACAGGACCAAGCTCCAGCCGGATGCCTGGGAAGCACAGAGCCTTCTGCCAGCTGGAGTTGGAGTGGATGCTGATGGAGTGACGCGAGGTTGGTTGTGTTTGCTGGGGTGATGCTGATCAGCCCAGAGTCTCAGCAGCCATTTATTCTTACGTGCCTTTCTCCCCTCTCTGTCCTCCAGCTCGGCACAGCAGCTGCTCCTGCCAGGCCTGGTGTGCTCCCAGTGCTCCTGCAGACACCTCCTAGCATGGTCCCTGTGCCAGGCTGCTCCGCGGGTGCCAGCTGTGCCCGCCCGGCTCCAGGGACACCAGGCTGACCCCACACCCCTGGCACCGCACCCACCGAGCAGGAACCGTCTGGGGTGAGAGGCTTTTCTGACTCAGCTCTGGGCTGGGCCGGGAGGGGCTGAAAGGAAGACCTTCTCTGGTTTGTAAGCACAGTTACCCCGCTTTGTGTCTGCCAAGCACCTCGTTCTTGTTGTTCTTCCTTGTTTTGATTCCTCCTTCGAGCGTTTCCCTCTCCGTGCTGTCTGCGTGAAGGCCACGTGCTCGTGTGGGTAGTGAGACTGGTGTCCCCTGGTTTGCTTCTGCTGAAGAGGAAACTGTAATAGTGGAAGAGAAATTGTGGGGTCTGCCAGGATCTCGCAGTCTTAAGCAATGGACTGTCCCAGGGCGTATTTGAGGCAGTGCAAGGGCAGGGGAATAAGTCGGTCTTAGAAACTCTGCATTGCTTTGCCTGCAGTAAGCACTGTGGCAGTTCCCAGGCCAGGACTGGGACAGAGAGGTGGCTGTGTTGTACCTTACATGCCTGGGCTGTGGAGACAGGACGAGGTGGTGGGAAGCCAGTCTGAGCTTGGACCTTCAGGGTACTCTTGCAGTGTGTGATGGTGTTGTCCTTGAGTTCTAATGATCCAGGCTGGTGTGGCCTCATCCAGGTTGGGGTTTTGGATTGATCAAATGGGCACCAGCGTACTGTGTGTTGGCCCATCTGGTCAGCCTGGGTGCCTATGGATTAGCTGGAGCCTCCCTGTGACTTTGGTGTCCAGCCACAGCAGAAGGTCTGTAGGACTCTCTTAGGGTTGGTGGTCAGGGAAGCCAGACTGTGGACACTCTGGCCTTTGAGCACTGGCTGTCTCCAGGGAGGTGTTGGTCAGGTCTGTACCGTGGCTAATTCTCACTGGTGAGAGGGATGAAGTGACGTTCCTGCTCATGGGTCAGTTTTGATTCAACCTTGAAATGTCTTACAAATAAATGCCACTGCCATTGTTCCTGTTGCCTGACCTTGCACGTTTTAGGAAGCAGAGGCTGGTGGAGGGAAGGCTGGGGCTCTGTAGCACCACAGGCTCAGGCAGCTGGATTTGTCTTGTAAGGCATTTGAGAGTGACTCCAGTAGTGTGAGCTCCTCTCCATCTGCCTGTTTGGGCATTGTGGGTTCAGGATGCAGCCACTGCCCTTGGTGGAGAGCACAGTTCCCTCCCTGTGCTGGAGGAACCTCCGATGGCCTGGTCGGGCTGGCTTTGCTCTAACAAAGGCAGCTTTTCCCTCAAACTGTTTGCATTATGTCTCAGCCCTCTCAGCCTTTTCCTCATTGTGCCCTCATTCCTCAGTGTGACCACTGTGTTTGTTCTAATGACTGTTCTCCTGGGGAAATACGGTTTAAGGTGTTGTGTGATTGAACACATCCTACACTTCCAGCTCTACTGGTGTGGCTGAAGAGGAGCCACTTGTGATGGAGTGAGCCAGTAAAGCCACTCTGGTGAGGAGAGGGGAGGATCGTGGTGGTGTCAGGCTCTGCTTTGTCTGTAGCACTTCATTGTCCCAGGTGTTACTCCACACCTATAATTTCAATTACAGTATAATCTCACAGAAGCAATGGTGTGGCTGCCACATCAGTGTGCAGAAGGATTCACGTGGTTTTTGGGATGGCCCAGCACAGAGTACAGGTGCAATGTGGAGCTGGAAGGGGGGAAGCAGTAATGTGATGCTTCTCCATTAAATTATCACTCTGGGCTGTCCTTCCCTGCTGCCAGGAGAAGCTGGGGCTGCCCCTGGATCCCTGGAAGTGTCCAAGGCCAGGTTGGACTGGGCTTGGAGCAACCTGGGACAGTGGGAGGCGTCACTGCCCGTGGCAGGGGGTGGAACAGGATGGACTTTAAGGTCCCTTCCCACCCAAACCATTGTGTGATTCTGTGATTCCAGAAGAGGAACTATTTTCCTCTCCAGCCCCCAAGTCTGTCCCACCTCCCTGGTCTCTCCTGGTTCCCTGTGCTCTTGGGGAAGGCAGGAGCCTCTTGTGCATTTCTTGGTGATTCCAATGCTTTTCTCTGCCCAGTTTTTGTGATGGAAATGCCAAATGCCACCGTTGTCTCTCAGGCTTATCCTACCTCTGCACTTGCCTGAGGCACAGCCAGAGATGCAGTGGTTTAAATCTAGGCCATTTGACTGGAAACTGGAACGTGGTGCCAGATTAAAGCCAGGGAAGGCCAAACTGCATAAAAATGGCAGGAGGAGACACCCAGGTGCTGCTGCCTGTTGGCTCTGGGCAGGGCAGTGCAGTGAGGGCTGGGAGCTGTCTCTAGGAAGGGATGCAGCTGGATGAGGCTTGGGCAAATTACATATTTACTGCCTGTCTAACCTGTGTTGGAATTAAAGCTGTGATTGGGGTGTCTGGGGACAGTGTGCTCAGGGGACATCTCCTCCACCTCCTGTCTCTGAGACTTTGTTTTCCATGTCCATGTCCTGGATTTTCACTGGATGTGAGACTTTGTTTTTTTGCTGCAACTCTCTTCCCCTCCCTTCTGCAGTGGCCAGCTCTTCATCTGCTTATCTGTCAGCTTAGCATGATCTGGAGATACAATCCCTGCTGTCCTTTTGGGAATGACCTCGTGTTTGTGCTGTGTTTGGGCACCTCTGGCCCACTATGAATGCGGGTTGCTGAGTGACTGGGAGGAAGGAACTCCTTGGGTCATCAAGCCCAGTTCCCTACTGCTGAAGACAAGTCTTCTTGTGCAGGTCATGAACTCATCCAGGAACAATCACTGGAACTAACTCTGTGCTTCTTTCCCCAGTGCTTCTGGAGCAGCTGGTCGATAGATCTGCTCTTTGAAAGGTCAGAAACCCTCCTCTGCCTCCCAGTGTCCAGCCTTCCCGGGCTGGTTGACTGTACCTGTGCCATTGCAGAGTGTCAGCTTGCAGATGAGAGATGACTTGCACTTTTTGTTCCTTCCCTGGCTCTCTGTAACCTTCGTGTCCCTGCAGCAGTGGTGGCTCTCGGTGGAGGTTTGTCCTGAGAAGTGTGTTGAAGGCTGCTTTGTTTCTCCATTTGGGCAGGTTGGGTTGGCTGGGCTCGTTTGTTTCCGTGTTGTGCTTTTGAGTGTTCCAAGTGCAGGTGGAGCTGTGAGCTGCACAGTTTGTGAGTGTCAGCAAGTACAGAAGAGCACTTTTTGTGCTGCTGTCACTTCTGTCGTCTTTTTTAGTGTTTGTCCTTGCTGCTTGTGCCATCTTGCCCCTTCAGGAGGGAGAAGTGTTGTCAGAAACAGTTGAATCAAGGTGAACCTGATAAAGCAGTGCATTGAAGAACCAGTGCCTGGCTCTTCCTCGTGGCTCTTATTCATGTTTATCTCTAGCTATGAATGTGCAATAACAACAGTTCTGTTCTGCACAGGCTGGCACAGCCTCAGACAGGACGATCTGCTGTTTACCAAGCAACACTCTGCTGTAAGTGAGAAAGGGGGGGAAAAAAGCGGTTTATTGCTGCTGGGTAGCTCAGAGTGTAGTTAAACCTTTCTGAGAAAGGAGGAAACTAAGAGCACATGTGTTACTCAAGACGCGTTTTTCCTGGCAAGAGTCCCGTGTGTGTGTGCTTCCTGTAAAGCATCCCCGTGTCTGCTCCTTCCCATTCAATCTGTAGCATATTGGGAGCAGGAGAGTAAGAGCTTCCTGTTTTTATAATGCAACTGGTCTCAGCAGGCAATCTGTCAGGGTGATTTTTCAGCCTGACATCTCTTGGAGCTGGGGCAAGCCTGTGAGCTGAGTAGGATGACAGAACTCTGCTACAAGGATTATAAATACAGGGAGGAAGAGATCTGGAAATGAGATCTGCTGCTTAAAGCTTCCCAAGATTGGATGCTGGGGTTTGTGTTGTTTTGTTCCTTGCCCCCTGTGTGTCTCTCTGTGGCATCACCTCTCTGCTGCTAATGAGAGGGAGGGCCTGTGCCAGCCCACACAGGCTGAGTTAACACTGAGCTCCAGAGGCACCCACAATTGGCTGGGAAACTGCAGGATACACGTGGCTCGCTGCACTTCACTGGAGCAGTGTTAATTGACTTAATAGAGCACTGGGGTTGTAGGGATTGGCTCGTGTGGGTTTTTTTTAAACATTCAGACACTTCCTCAGCAGTGCCAGTGTTGCCATTTTCGTGCTCGTTCAGAAACTGCTCTTCAGTTGTCAACGGAGATGGGGTTTGAAGTTAACCCTTATTTTGAAAAAAACCTTCCTGCTTCTCCCTCTTTTTCTCCCTCCAGCTTGTGATTAAGATGTTGATTGCCCTTTCAAATCTGTATAATCCCCTCTCTCAAAGTGACCGTGGTAGATTTCCAGTAGCTCCCCGGATTATCTGTCACTGGTTTACAGTTGTCCAGTGCAAGGGAGAAGAGGAAACTTCACTCAGACTTTGCTGCTCATTGCTCTGTGGCTATAAATGTACTTTTCCTATTAATCTTTCACTTCAGGCTTTGGACACCTCTTCCTCTGCCTGCATGCTTACGAAGAGTCAGTGCTGGGCTTTAAATGCAGCTCAGCCCAACTCAGCTGCTGTATATGAGTTTCCTCTGTGTTAAAGTTGGGCCAGAACCAGTTTCAAGGCAGCTGAAAGAAGGTAAAGACCCTGGAGCTTGCCCTTGCATGTTAATTCCACAGCCAGAGACATGTGCTGCTGTTCTGGCCTTTGCTAAAGCGTCGCATGAAACATGAGGTCCTGTTCTGTGCTGGTCTGGGGCTCCAGGTTAAATTATCTTGTTACCTCATTAATAGCCCATCTGGAAATGTGCTTCCAGACAGCTCACTTCAGCTGATGATACCTCTGCAAGCAGTGTACCAGTCTTTTTCCTCACAGAGATCTGGAAAACAGCTCACTTGGAGCTTCCACTCCCCTCCGTTTCCTCAAAGGCCAGAATCTCTGGTCTCCTCTCTTCTTCTAGCCCTCTGCCCCATAACAAACATTTGGATGGGTGAGTGTCACCCTGCTCTCCCTTTTCCACGTCCTGCCACTTGTGCTGCTCACACACTGCCTGTCGTCCTTGTGCCTTGTGCACCTGAAGACTTCTTGGCCCTGGCAGGTCTGACAGAGCTTCCTGAGTCACAGGACCATGGCCCAGATCACAGGGGGAGCTCTGTGGTAGAGCACAGGGACTGCAGGAGCCTCCCAACATCCCAGCTGAGTGTGCCAACCACTGGCCCATCCTTCCCGTTGTACCTGTGCCTCAGTCTGTCCTTGGAGGTGCCTTCCTGCCCCTCCCTGCCAGAACCTTTGCAAGGAATTGGAACTTGCTGACACCTTCATTTCCTTCCAAGACTGCAGCACTTGGCTGCCTTGGCAGGTGAGGGCAGGGAGAAAGAGCAGCACAACTTTATTTCTTGTCCCCAGCTGTGTGCACAACATCTGCTCAGCACAGAGTGTTCGGTTCACTTGCTCTTGCTGCACTTGAGCCCTAGAGCTCTCGTGGGGTCGGTGTTGGCATCTTGGATTTCAGCCTGTGCTGCGTCTGTCTGAGGTGGGTGTCTTGTTGCTTGTCTGCTCTTCCCCCACTGCCTTGTGGAAGGAGAGGGGTTGTTTACCCTTCCTCTCTTGGGGTTACTTCTTTTAGCAGGGTCATCTCAGCCATGCTCTGCTCTGGGACCCGGTTTTGCACGTTCTGCCCCCCTGCCTGGGGCTGGGAGCTGGATCTGTCACTTGCTGGGCACACAAATGCTTGAGGTTCTTTCCTTTGCTTGGCTGGCATGACACACCATCAGACACTGCACTCTGCATCCTTAGTTATCCCATGCCTGCCGTGCTCTGTGACTTCATTCCCTCCTGACGCTGCCCTGTCTCGTCCTGCACACCATTCCCTGCCTCCCCTGGCCCAGTGAGCGTGTGCCTCCTGCCGTGGGGAGCAGGAGATCTGCTGTGCATGGAGGCAGGACTGGCCAGGGGCTGACCATGCCTTCATGATGGCTGAAGTGGTCTCCTCCAGCTCCATGCCCCAGTCAGCCCCAGCTCCTGAAGCTGCACCCGCTGGCCCCTGAGCTGATTTGTGTTTCAGGGTGTGAATCGCATCCCAACCGTCCCTGCAGAGGAGGCTGCTCCTGCCAGGGCTGTGTGTGGGCACTGGACATTCAGAGCTCTCCAGGATTTCCCCTGATTTCCCCCTGTCAGCAGCAGGTTGCGTGTGAGTGAGGGCACAGAGCTCCTCCTTTGCTGCTGAGGGTGGTACCGGCTCCCAGCACAGCTGGCTCCCCAGGGCAGTGGTCACGGCCCCAAGCCTGACAGACCTCAAGGAGTTTTTGGACAAAGCTCTGAGGCACAGGGTGGGATTGTTGGGGTATCCTGTGCAGGGCCAGGAGTTGGGCTCTGTGGGTCCCTTCCAGCTCAGGACATTCTATGGATCTATGATCTTAGCCAGCCCCCAGGCAGGGGAGCTTACACAGCAGAGGAGGAGAAGGGCTGGTTCTTGCAGCTTCAATTCTAGGAGGAAGTGTCCATTGTCTCGGCCCAGCTTTGAGGGACTGTACCTCCCCCAGGTACATGGTGTGCCTTCTCCTGGGCCAGCTGCTCGCCCACCACCTCAGAGCTGTCTGGAGTTGAGGGTGGCTGTGCTTTCATTCCTGGACCTTCCCTGGAGCAAGGGAGTAGCTCAGAGTTAACTTTATTTATAGGTTGAGGGAGTGGAAATATTAATGAAGTGACAAAGTTCTTGTCCCTGAGTCTGGGAGGCTGAGAACCAAGTGAGGCTGGAAAACTCAGCACTTGAGCTGCCATGTGGATCATAAATTACTGGGAAAAGGTGTCTGGGGTATCCCATCAGAAGGAGGAGTTTCTGCATGTGGAACCAGCTGGGGTGAGTCTTCCTCACCGCTTTCCTCAGTGGCTGCAGCAGCTCCAGGGACCTCTGTCTCCTTCCTGCTGTGTGCCAAAGGGAAGAGCTTGGGGTTGATCCTAGGAAAAGTTGATCCTGCAGCTTCCTAGATGCATTGAACCACATGGGCTAGTTCCCTTTGCTTCCTCTTTTGCTCTCTTCAGAGCCAAAGCCTACTTTGAAGCTGGAGGGAAGGAAAGGGGGTTGGGCAGACCCAGATCTCCACCCTTCCTGCCTGCTCCACTGTGACAGGAGAGCTGGGGCCCGAAGGGTCAGCACTGCTCGCTGCTGTGGAGGAATAGGGTTATCTGGAAGCACCCAGGTGACTGCTCTGCTGTCCCAGCAGCAGGAAGAACCTCCATGGCAAGGCTTTGCTGTCCTGAACTTGTCGTAGGTGCCTGCTGCTCACGGTGAATTTGAGAAAGGCTCTGCATCACGATCAGGGTAAGCTGGTGTGAGTGGCTTGGGAGAGGAGACATCGAATCTGGTTTTATTTTGGAAGCAGTATTTTGGGAGCAGCTAAACAGCATCTGTTGAAACCTGGTAATTATTGCAGCTGCAAGGGGCAGAAAACCAAAATCCAAACTCAGCATCTTGCTAAGGTGCTTAACTGTTAATTTCCATGAGTGAGATCCACCCTTCTCAAGACACTTCAATCTGTTCGCATTGTTGCTTCCTCTCCAGATTAGATAGGTGGAAGCAGTGCTTTATTAATTAGAAGGAAAATCCTGCTCCCTCCTGCCAAGGCAGAGGAACTGTTGGCAGTTTGTTCCCTCTCTGTGGCTGAAGCTTCCCATGTTCAGCACGGGCCACGTGCCTGCAGGTCATCCTGGGGCATCTCCCTGGCCAGCGGGAGAAGTTCCTCAAAAACAAGGCTGAGTGCTTCCAGAGAGGCTTCCTTCTTCTTTAATTGTCCCCTTCCCTTGCTGGAGTGCAGTTTCCATTCTCACCTTTCCTTCTTGGAGGCTCCTCATTTGCCTGGTGTTGGCCAAAGGCGTTTTGGGTCTCAGCTCGGGGAGCGGCGTACGTGCTTTGCATTGAGCTGTGACGCTGCTGCCACGCCTGTTCTCAAACTGGTTCACCCTCTCCCCACCTTGGGTCAACCCTGAGATGTTGTTCATTGGCTGCTCTCACCTAGCATGAGGGTGACCCCGAAGAGAAGGATTTACTGCTTTGCCTGGAGAAATCCGATTTCACACAGCGCTCACAGGCGAGCAGCCCAGTTAGACCAGACAGTCTCGGAGATCACTCCGACTTAGCCAGGTTATCCTCCACCTATTTATAGCTCCCTTCCTCTCCCAGCTCCACCCACCGTGGGGTTTTACCACAGGTTTTAAAGCAGAACTCCCAGCCTCTCCTCCCCCTGTGGTGGAGTTGAGCTGCCTGCTCTGACTCCCTGGAGGAGGAGGACAGAGCAGGACACTGGAGCCGGTGTGATGTGGGCAGCAGGCATGTCTCTGGCCTCTTCTGGTGAGCTAAAACTGGTGTTCCCATGGGGAGGAGGAAGCAGAGTTCTGCTTTTCCAGCTTGACAGTCAGCTGAGGAAGTGGTCCTGAACCAGCCTGTGGAATTGCTTTGTTTGGCAGTTTAACCCTACTTGAGGTGGGAAAAGGCTGTTGACTGCCTGGGCACCCTCCTGTGTCGCTCAACCTGCTGAGCTGGGCAGGGCTGTTTCGACCCATCTTTATTTACTTTATCGTGATAGAACTCGAGTCTTGAGGTAGAAGAGAGAGTTTGTTCTTCTGTCAGGTCCCAGAGTTGCACCCTGTGCCGGTGCTGCCGCAGACACCGCAGGTGTGGGGTGGCTGATGTCTCCAGTCGGGCTCGAGTTGATGATGCTTGGAAATGCTCTTCCCCTTCACATCTCGTGGCTTTCATTTAGCCAGAAAATCAGATTTGTTACAAATTAACTGCTTGAATAGCAGGAAATGAGAGGGGAAGCGCCAGGGATCCACTTTGGCTGGGTCTGTGAAATCAGTGAAACCTTGCTGTGGGGTGGGAGGAAGCCAAGTGTGGGCATGGGGGGCTGATGCCCAGCAGCGAAGCAGACCAATTGAAAAAAAAGGAGGTGGTAGGGAAAGTCATGTTCCTGGGCTTCTTTTGTCACATTTCTTTAGTTAGTCCAGGCTTTGTAGAATACAGAGGAGAGACTGTGACAGAGCAGTTAACATTCTCTAGCTAATGACCTAATGCAGGCACGTTCTGGTATTCAGCTTGTAGCAAAATTGCACCTGCTCCTTGAGTTGCTGCTTTTCAGAGTGTGTTATCTATCGAGGCCTTTCTTGATCCTTTAGATCAATCCTGGGATTGAAAAACTGTATTTTAGGACTCTTCATTTCAGCCTTTTTGTGGCACAAAGTAGTTCCTTCGCAAAGGTCTTTCTGCGGTTCATTCATCTCCCTAAATCCTGGTGGGTAATTGAATAAGCTCAGCTGTGCTAATTTTTTTGTCTTCCTCGTTTCTTCTTTTTTGCTCTGTTAAATGTTCCCTTGATCCTCTGCTCCTGATATACATGCAGATTGCTGTGCATTTTCCCTCTAAGTAGACACGTGTATGTGTGTGTGTTTAAACTTCTTCAAATACCAGAGGACGTGAAATGTTTCTGTAGTTTAACTGTGATGATGCTCGAAGAATAAATTCCAAAAGGTAGCAAAGAGAGGGGGAGAAAAGGAGGAGCAGTCAAAGTCCCTGACCTGCTTTTGTGGGTAGGGGCATGCTTGGTGTCAGCTAAAAATTGGATTGAGCTGAAAGTAAATAGCCATAGAAATACTTTTTCAGATTGCCAGTTTGTCCAGTTCCAGCCTTGCTGTAGCATTAGTGGGGAACAGCAGAAGAGGAGTGTTTTATTTTACGTACAAGCACACAAGCCATCCAGTCCTTGTAGCTGAAGGTAGCTAAACATCTGATGTGCCAGTCAGAGCCCAAGAGCTTTCAGACTGACCTGGGGTTTGTGGTCCCCAAGGATTGCTGGTTTGGGCTCCAGGTGGGACTGGCTTGTACCGTTTGCTGCTTCTTTCCCCTGGTGTGAAAGGCTTTGTGCTGGGCTCTGCTCTGCTTCCCTCCCCTAGTCGAGCTCCTTCCCTGTGCCTGGAAACTCCTGGTGCTTAACTTGGGGGAGCCTCTTCTCCAGCCCCTGCACTCCTCATCTCCAGCAGCAAAAGCTGGATTCAGTGAAACAGCCCTTCCCATCCCAGTGAGCACTGGCATGGGGATCCTGCTCAGAGCATGCATTAATAGGCTTTGAAACTGGAGGGTTGTTGCTGAAATCATACCTTATCTTTCTCTCTTTTTCTTTCCTTTTTTCCCCCCCTTTCTCTTTGTTTGTTTGTTGTTTTGTTTTGTTTTTCCCCCTCCTCTGATCAGAACCGACCTCCCTTCCTCCAGCGTGTCGGGATCTTTCCAGCAGCCCATGCCGCAGCATCCCCCCCGAGCTGCCCATGCCACTGGCCTGGACCTAACCTAGGCTCAGTGTCGGCGTGGGCCGGGCAGGGGGCACCATGGGCAGCTCTGCCTCATCGCTGGCCGCGGAGACGGAGTCGGACCATGGCTTCGGTAGCACCCCCTACCCGGGGCACCCGGCCGTGGGCTGGTATAGGAGCAGCCACGGCAGCCCCGTGTGGGAGAGTGCCCTTATAACGCGGCAGCAGCAGCACCTCCAGCACCGGGTGCGAAGGTAAGGAGGAGGGGAACGACCTGCTCGCTGCTCACCCGCTCGCTGCTCGCCCCCCAGCCCGAGTCCGCCCGCTGCCTTCGGCAGGCGAGTCGCTTTGCATCCTTTTTGTTGTCGTGTCCCTTCGCTCAGAGGCTCAGTTCAGTTCCTCAGGAAGCTACAGCCAAATTTCCACCCGTTTGAGTGATGCCAAGCCCTGTCCTTTACATGGGGTGGCTGAAGTCTCCTGCAGAATGGACTGCAGGACTCAGCCCAGCTCTTCCTCACTCACTTAAATTGTGAAGGTGGCTGCCAGGGAATGGGATCTCAGTTCCTTGTTTGCCATGTTGTCGTGGCTCCTCTTCTTTCTGACCTCCCAACCACACTGTAGTGTCACAGGGGGAGGGTTGTGACTCCAGGTTGGGAGGTGATAAGCCTCAAGGGTTTCTGAACTCACAAGAGCTGCAGAAGCTGTTTTCATGCAAAAGCAGTGAAATGCTTTTGAATACCAGATCCAAAGGAATGAAACACACCAGACCAGAATCACTTTGAAAACGAGCTCAGTGTTTCCAACCCTCAATTCCGGTTCCTCCTTGATGAAATCAGCACCTCAAATGTGTCTCTGAGCCATTGCCTCTGCCCCTTCCCCACCAGCCACTGGAAGTGAGGAGTTTCTCTTCATGTCGGGGCATGTGTCCTGCATTCAGTCTCTGACAGGTATGTCGAAACATCTAAAACCCCTCTGCCTGGGGGCTTGGCTACAGAGGCTGCTGTGTTTTGTGCTAATAACCTTTGAGCCTTTGCCTAATGCCTGCTCGGTGTAGATTCCAGCCTGGTGGGGTGTTCGTACCTGCTTGAGCCTGTTTGGAGCTGCTGGTCATTTAGGAATAGCTGCTTTGCTTCCCAGTGTCCTGGCTTTCTACTGTAGACGTTTGCTGTGATGATCAGTAGATCTGTGGTTGGGGTCCTTGTTTTCTTGCCTTCCTGCTGCTGTGAGGCCTGGAATGTGCTGCACGGGGTCTGGTACATAACTCCAGGAGCCTCTGAGGCAGCAGCGTCACCTTTGCTCCTTTCTAGCCCTGTCTTGGGTCTTCTTGTTGAGCTGGGACAGTGTGGAACCAATTATCTGTTGTCTTTGCTCTCAAACACGGCCTTGAGTTCCCAGCAGTGCCCGAGAGAGCTTTTAAAAGAGTATTTTGTGCAGTTCCTAAAATCTATGTGTTGCTGTGTGTGTCAACCAGCCACGGTTCTGGTTGGTGATCTGTCCTGTCGGGGCTTGTCCCCTCTAGTTTAGAGGGGTCCTGTGAACAGAGCTGGTCCTTCCTTCAGGATTATCCCTTCTGGGCTGGTGGTTTTCCCTCTGTTGCCATGAGGAGTGTCTTGGCTCACAGATGAGCACCCCAGTGTGCACAGCCAGCACTGGAATTAAGGAACTTCCAATGCACAGCTGGCCCTGGGCACTAAAAAGGTGATGTCTCTGCAGCCTCGTGTGTGCCAGTTCATGGCTCAAAGTCTGTAGCTTGGAGGAGGTTGAGAAACGAAGTGAAATCTTGACATGTGGAAATAAATTTCCTGAACAACCAGCCTTGGTGGTGGAAGGGATGTTGGGGCAAGAACAGGAACTGCCGGTCTGGGCGCAGATAACGCTAGTGTCCTGTTAGGACAGGAGTGGCTTTTCCGATAATTATGTATTTCCCCTGCTGAAGGCAGAACAGAACTCATCCCAGTGCAGGGCTGCGTGGTTCCTGGAGACAGGAAAATCGCTGGCCGTGACTCAGTGAGCAGTGAGTTGCGTGGGAAGAACTCGCTCCAGGCAGTGATTATGGAAGTTGGGTTCAAAAGACCTGCTGGGATCAGCCAGGCATCAAAGCAGCGCCGTTCCCAGGGAGGGACGGGGGCACAGGGGGGTGAAGGAGCAGAGGATGGTTGGTTTCCAGGGAGGAATAGATAAATATATTCCTTTAAAGAATTAAGTAAGTCAATAGAACGAGGCAGGGTAGGTCGCCTGCCTCTGCGTGCCCTCGTCCCTGGAGTCGTGGAGCGGAGGAAGGAAGTGGAGTACTAGGGAGTCAATCTGAGGCTGGGCAGGAGTTCTGGGATGGACTCTGCTTTTCCTGCTGCTTTTCTGTCCCTACCTGTGGCCACCTTTGGAGCTGGTAATGCTTTGGCTGCTGTGGAGCAGCACAAAGCCAAGCTGCTCTGGGCTGTCTCAGGGATGAACACAAGCCTTCCTTGGCAGGAAAACAGGGACACAAGTACTTAACGGGTGACTTTGGTCTGTACTTGATGGGGGAATTAGGGGAGGCTTTCCTCGTGGTGGGGTGGGAACAGGGAGAGAAATCAGTGCTGTTTGGCTTTCAAGATTTTGGAAGCTGAGAGGAGGCTGCGCTGTCTCCCGTTGCCTGGGTGAGGCTGGTGGTGTGGAGTTCCCTGTCTGCTGAAGACAGGGAGACAGGAGGGAGTAGAAAAAGGGCATTAGTGGTAAAAGCAGCAGGCTTGTGACATCCACATTTGAGCCCCTGATGTCTTCTGGACCAGGCTGCACAGTCTTTGTGTGCCACCTTCTACACAGGAGCTTGTCCCTGCCTTCCCCAGCGTGCCAGGAGGACACAGCTGCCTAAAGACTAGAGGTACCAGTGTTACATGCATGCTGGTTAGAGGGACCTCATTGCACAAATCTCTGCTTAGGGCAAGGATGTTGGTTTTAAACCCATCCCTGGTAGCTGTGTGAAGCCAGACAAATTCTGGCTCAGTTAGAAGTCCCCTTGGGCTCCATCTTGCTCATGCGCTTGAAGGTGCTGGCCTGGGCTCCTGCTGGGTGGGAGTGCTCAGCTGGGTCTGTGGATCCACCACAGCCAAGCTTCCCAATGTGCCAAGCCCTTCGTGGGGCTGAGAGCAGGCAGGTGAGTGCCCAGGTCAGTGCAGGCAGCGGGACACTGCTCTGGTGCTGCAGTTGGCTGGTTTGGGAGCTGTGGGATTGGGGTGGCTTCTCCTGCTGCCGCTGCAAGTGGTGGTGGCACCTCTCCAGTGAGCATCCTTCCACATCTGTGAGGGGTTAGGAGGGAATCTGGGCAGTGAACTGTTTCCTGAGGAGATTTAAGGGAATGTTTCTGTTCACCAGGTCATCATTCCCAAGGATTCATAAAGAGGGTGCTGTTGAGTACTAGGAACTGCTGGATTTTGCTCCATTCAGGAAAGGCTTTTTGGGAAAAGTATTGCAAGATCTGTGCCCACTACTTGGTTTGGCTGAAGCTCTCTGGCCTCCTTCTCTTCCAGAGAACACTCATTTTCTGGGGTTTCCTGTGGCATTCTGCAAAGGTTTTGTATTTCTCTATAAAAGCCTTTGCAGAGTGAAATACCTCTGGGTCACAATGACTGTGGAAGGAGGAACACACTCTTTTAGTATTATTTTTTAAGTGCTAAAAATATATAAAATGCTTTTGTTGTTGGCAGCTGCTGGGAGGGCACTTGCTGTGCCACCCCCTGCTCCCCAGGGGCACCACTTGTTTCTGAAGGGAAACTCGAGGCAAACCATCCTTACCCTTGGTGTTTGGGAGCCCTGTGGCTTAAATGCATGAACAGCAGCAAGTCAGAACTGCTGGGCAGCATCACACAGTCCTGTTTGGGAGCTCTGAGTTGTCCTGAGGCTGGTGGAGATGTTAATAATGGGATTGTGGCAAATGGAGGGGTGGCAGGGCCATGTAGGGAGGGGGGATGTGACTCTGTGCAGCTCCTTCCCACCCTCCTGTGTTGGGGCACTTCAGCTCCAAGTGCAGCACGAGCAGAACTGGTGTCTGCAGGAGGGTTTAGTCTGTAGAAAAGGAGGCTCAGGGGGGACCTTCTGGCTCTCTGCAACTCCCTGACAGCAGAGGGGAACCAGGGTGGAGATGGGGTCGGGCTCTGCTCCCAGGGAACAAGGGGCAGGACGAGAGGAAACAGCCCAAGTTGTGCCAGGGAAATTTCTTCATGGAAAGAGTTGGTCAGGCCCTGGCACAGCTGCCCAGGGCAGGGGTGGAGTCCCCATGCCTGGAACTGTTTAAAAAAGGTGTAGCTGTGGCACCTGGGGACGTGGGGCTGTGATGGCCTGGGGGAATGGTTGCTGGGGGAGTGATCTTAGGGGGCTTTCCCAACCTTAATGAATCTGTCATTCTATCATTCTGTGTGTTCCTTGTTGGGGAAGCCCATGCCCAGAGGAGAAGTGGGAAGAAAAGCTCCTGGTAAAGGATCAGGTGACTCTGCAGGGTTTCCCTGCTTCTGTTTTCTGTCACTGGATCTCAGGCAGGTCTGGCAGCCTCAGTGGGTAGGGTCTGTGCTCTTTGGGGTGCAGGTACCTGACAGAGCTGGGGTGGGACAGGCACAGTTCCATTTTTTATCAGCAGTGTGCATGGATTTGCCTGTGCTCAGGGAGTTGACTTTACACCTTGCAGGAATCACAGGACTGGTGGAGGTTGGAAGGGACCTCTGGGATTCAGCTGGTCCAGCTCTCTTCCCAAGCTCTGCCAAGAGCAGGGACATGTGTGGCTCTGGAGCAGAGGGATAACCAAAATGTGCTCTGACTGTGTATCCACAGAGGGGGGAAAAGGGATTACTCTTCCAAACCACGAGGGTACTTATATCAGCTCACCTATTCAGGACATGCTGCTCATCCCACTGGAGTGGAGCTTGTGCTCCCCAGGTGCTGCCATGAAGTGGATGCATCCCTGTGGCTCATGCTCCTTCTGGAAGTTGTGGCATCCAAGTTCAGCTGGGATTTGGTAGAGTAGTGGTGTTCAGGTTGTTGTGCATACCTGCTTGCTGGGAATACTGAGCTTGTAACTGTTTGCTCTCCAGTTCTCCCCAAAGCCCACTGGAATTGTCTTGCTCCAGAAGGTGTTGCAGTGCCAAGGAGTTGGCAGCATGGAATGCTGTTTCATCTGCCTGAGGCTTCCAGCCCTGCCCATCCACTTTCCATGCCGGCTGCTCCAGAAGGCCATTCAGTCACAAAGCCTATTAGTTGTTTAAATTGGGGCTATTTATAGCTCTGG